GCAATGGGTGGTGGGATCCTCAAACATTGGGGGACACATTCAGCAAAGGCCACCTGGTTAGTTAACACTAGGGGGTCTACCAATCGAGTTGGCTCTGCCCAATCAAGACTTCCACATACTGTAGAAGGAGATAAAGTCCCCATAGCGCACACAAAGAATACGCTGGGGAAGACAGTTTGGGTTAGCCCTGCTTTAGGCAAAGGCAAACCCATATGGGGGACTGCTTTTGCTCAAGGACCTGGGTGCACTTGGTGGGTGATGCAGAAGAATGGGGAATTCTGATGTGTACCTCAAGGGGATTTGATTTTGGGTGAGAATAGCCAATGATTTAAATTGTATGATGTTAATTGCTAAATAAGCCTGCCATTGTATGTCATCACTGCTGCAATTGCTATATGCCACATCGATGGTGTTACAGTAAGAATCACCCAAATTAATGAAGGATGAGCTCTGATGAAAAGCTCAACCAGCCAGCCTATCTGCTCAGGGTGTTAATAGTAAACTACATGTTTGATTCACAACATACAGGTAACTACTTCTTTTTAAAATGCAGGTCACAAAATGGTATTATACCATATGGCACAAAATGTACCATCAAACCACAGAAATGGTTATGCTATATGGCACAAAAAAACGCCTTCTCGTGTGTTTTAACTGCAAGAAATCCTGAAAACATTTAGCATTTAGAGAGAAAAGAGCATCTGTTCAGAGACGAAGCTCCTGGTTACTCTGATCTGCTCAGTATAAGTTACTAATCTTCTCTACAGGGATACTTGTTTTATATCTCAGTAAGGACTCTCAGTAACCACCACCACTCAAAAAATCCCACTATGATCTCTTAGTCCAAAATAAAAACCGTACCCACCTGTGTTTTGAGTGTGATCTTTTCCTTCTAGATCGGGATTTTGAGCTAGACCTGGATTCTGAACGAGAATGGGAACGAGATCGACCGCCTTTTCTTTCACTGCTCTTTCCAGACTCTGAGAGGAAAAAACCACTTTGCAGTGTAAGCTCAGAACATTTAAAGATCCCAGTTAACAATTTGGCACAAGTGGAATGTACCACATATAGTGCAAGGGGCCTACTCTTTGCACATCTTCCTTCTTTGCAAATATCCTTCAGAAACATCCAAGAAAGTCATTGCATATACTCGTTGAGTGCAGCCATCCTGCAGCAGTACACATAAACCAGATAATTATAAACAGCTAGCTCTATTAGGAATGGGATTTATGTTGCTGCCACAATGCACAAGATCACAACACGTTCTCCTCTTAGTCTACTGTTTAATTTAATTACTTTTTTTTTAAATAGTCTGAGAATAATAAATTTAGAGGGCATGATTTTGAAAACAAGCATAAATGTAAATAGTAATTAGTACTTTCTATGCTTCTAGACATTTCAACCACTGTGCACATCTTAAAGTTTTATTCCTCAAACATTGTTTTGTGGGAGAAAGGGATGGAGAGAACAGGGTGAAAAGTTTGATCCAAAGGCCGAAAGTCAACAGAAACCTGAAGAGTGACCTCACCAGACTTTGGTTCAGACTTTATGTTATTCTGCTGTTTAACATTGAGGAAATACTAGAGCTATTTTTCTTCCAACCCTAAAAAAACAACAGGAAATACTCACACATACCCCCCAAAAGACCCCTCAAGACTCTGCATTATCTAAACTACATAAGACAATGTCTGGGTTTTTTAGTAAGAAGAGTGACAAAATCTCACGGATGAAAAGGAGGATCTCAACTGCAAGATTAACAAATTGGGAAGTTTTTTATGCTGTGGTTTTGCAATCAGTTTAAGTCAGCATAATCCAGCACTGAAATATCTGTCTAACCTCTCAACACATCAACACCTTCCTCCCTGACCTGGTATCTCAGTGTTAACAGGGATCAGGAAACCAATCTGGATGAAAAAAAGTCCTTTACAATATGTTAGGTTTTATCTCAGATTCATTCTCTGATCCTATTTGCTATGAAGATGCAGTCTTGAGACAGCATGAAAAACAGCATAGCACCGGGATAAAATTAACCTGCTGCAGATAAGGAAAGCATAATATTACTGCTTTCAGAACCATACTAGCTCCCTCTGATCATGAAACTACAGCATTAACAGGTGCTAGAGGAGAACAAAACAAAATATAAATCAGGTTCTTTTAAAACTTTCTAAGTACTTTGAACTTAAAAAGCACCAACATCAGGTATTTAGTATTAACTTTGTATTTTTGAAAATTCAGGGAGCATGCATCTGAAAATAAAACATGATGAAATAAAAAGTCAGCTTCATTCCACTGCTTTGTTGCCTGAATACAGTTTTGATTACTTTCTTCTTTTCCCACCATGTATTGTTCACCTTTGAAAATGTGTTTGAAAATGTTCTTTTAAGTGTGTGCCAAGGTACACATAGAACATGTCTGTTAGGTAATGAACATAATATACCCACCTGGCTCAATAGCAGCAGATATGAATGACTGGGCTTCCCTTACTCTCTTCATCACTTCTTCCAGTTCCTTGGCAGCAGCCTGTGGTGTCATTTCAGGAGGCTTCACTATCGCATTATTGGAGTGATTTATTCTAAATTAAGGAAAAATAAAACCTTTAACTGCCCAACGCTTGAAAGGGAAAATGAAAAACAACTAAGAACAGAAAACATCTCAACTTAACTTCCATGTACAACAAAAAAAATCAAAGTTCAGCAAAACTACAGATTTGTCTTAACACTCATTTGTTCTAAGTACCTGAAATGTATTTTATTGCTTTCAAATCTTACAGCTTTGAAGTAAATGCAGCACAATGTTTCTGTGTTAAAATATTTTCTAGTAGAAGCGTAGGAATCTATTTCTCTTTTCAGAGCCAATCTCTACATGAAGGCCGACTAATTACACATACATCATATAGAAAGCTTAATTAGTACTAAAGACTTTGCAGATTCCTTCACTATTATGGCTTCCACTACCTGAAGATTAAATACAAATATATTTTACTCAATGCCATCTATATTCTTCTACAGAAAGTTATGCCCAACCTTGAAACTGGAGTTCATAAAAATGTTCCAGTTTGCTAACAATAGGTCTTTATATTGAAAAAATATTCATCACAGCAGCTTCCTGCACATCAGTCATAAGTGTATAAGGACACAAAGAAACCTCTCATTCAATAGTAATATGGATAATTAATTTCTTACTTCAGTGGCCTGTCTCCAAACATAACTCCATTAAAGGCAAGAGCTCGAGGTACAGAATTTTGGTCTGCAAATTCCACAAAAGCAAATCGTGTTGGTTGTGTCTCATCCCCCGCCATTCGCACAAATTTGACTTCTCCAACTTGCTTAAAGAATTCAAGCAGCTGATCTGCTGTTGTAGTCTAGAAAGAGTCGAAGAGCTCAGCTGAAGTAAAATATATAATGAAAACCACTTATCCAATACAAGGATCCAATACAAGTAATCTAAGAGTTACACATTTTGGAAAGATCTCTCATCATTTTTACACAGGTGACATGACTTTGGTAATGTTATACTTTAAGACAGACAGGTATTTTTTTTCCATTAATCTAAAGAATATACCGTAATTTAAAATAGTGCAACCAAAAGCCCTGAAGTCCTACATCTAGGTTAAAAAAGCATTTATACAGGAATTTGCACTTTTCAGGCAACTTGTTTGAAATAATTAATGAGGCATTTCCTTAGACACCTGTGCCCAAGCTATCAACTGTGAATTTGGATCAATTAAAAAAACCCCAAATCCAAACAATATTACAAGATTTAGCTTTTATCTCTTTTTTTTACTAGCTTCCAGCTTGTTTTATTTTATTGTGATCAATAGTACTTTTACACTCTAGTAGCTACTTTGGCAGTCAAAATCCCCCCAAAATAAAATACTTACATTGGCATCAGTCAAAAGCAAATAGGTTTCCAATTAATTCAATCAACTGCTGAAAAAACAAGTTTCTGACAGACCTAACTTTCCTGTTATAGAAACTCAAGATATTTATGCTAATTTCGCAAATTCCACTAGGACACAACATTCCATCTTACGGCAGTTAAGCAAGTGCACAGTGTTGGGGGGGGACAGCTACCATGACCTCATGACTTCTGAGGCATTGCTCAGCTAACACAACCCAGCTGGACATTTCATCAACACACAATCATAAGTATGTTTCTTGAACTTAGCTACAGTGTGATTTCTCTGATATCCGTTCAGAAGGAATTCCACAGTCTGGTCTGATCTCATTGGCACAGGAGCATTCAAAATTTGAAATATCACTAGTAACCAAAAAGAATATTTTTTTTTGTTTAAATTCCTATTGTCATCAACTAACAAAAACTCTTTAACAAGATTAGAATTCATAAATTACAATTCTATACCTTTCATTAGCATTCCATTACACCAAAAAAAGCTACCTGGGAATTCAAGTTTCCAACATAGACTGTTCTTCTGATTTCATCGATTTTGGATGGATCCACATTCCCCATAATTGGAGGCTGGGGTATTTCTCCCAGTGCCGTAATATTAGGGTCCAATGCTGCTGCTGGTATAGCCCCCAAAGTGCCAAGTGAAACACCAAGCTGGAAAACACAAGGACGGAATATGCTTTGCAACCAAGCACTGGTGGGGAGATACTTCACTTGTTAATACTTGCCTGCCTTCTCCATTTCTGTAAAAATAAATCTAATTAATATAGGCAATAATTTAAACTTTAAGGTCCCAGTTGAGCACTTTTTTTAAAGAATAAAAATCTACCCATAAATAACCTTCTATAGTTAAAATTTTCTGTGGGCTATCAGTTAACATCTTATCAAAGAGGTCTGGCCAGGGATGCATTGTACCAATCAGAAAACATATAGGCTTGAATGTCTAATGCTTACAGTCAATCAAATTGAGTGAGATGCCTTCAGATACTGCTAATATTCTTATTTTTTTGTCCACAGTAAGTATTAGGAGTAGGTGAGGAACTGCTGAGTTCTTGCCCAGCAAGGGAAGAAGGGAATTTGCAGTGCACAGGGCCTATTTGTTCTGTAATAGGGAACATCAAAGGGACAGATAAGGTACCTTTTGGACAAACACATCACGTAAGGCGAGACTGATTACAGTTGAAATGCGAAGGATATTAAGTCTAAGTTCTTCCCCTACAAACACAGTCATTTCCTAGAGAATGAAGACAATACAGCTCTCATTTTTGGAACTGGGAATTGAATCTCTTCTGGGGAATGTTATAAAAAAAAGGTCACTTAAAAATCCCTACTAAATTGGTCTGCTGAGTTCCTGGTTTGAATTTTATTTTCCGCACTCAGAAAGCAACTACCTTTCCAGCAAACAAATTTTCTACAAGTGTGACAAATTCTCAACAAGCCACCAGTAAGTTTTTTTATTTAACAAAAGAGAAAACTACTTAACCTGAAATTTTCCCTGAATAGGTCACAGCAGCCTGCTGATCCTAAGAAAGGCTTACAGAGGCAAAAAGGAACTGAGCAGAAGTAGCAGCAGCTAACTCCTATGCTTTTTTGTAGTGAAAACATGGTTAGGCAAACAGTCCAAAGCCCTGTTGTAGAGGTATCAAATAAAAGCATTTTAATATTCCCAAGAACTGTGTCAATCTAACTATTATGTTTTAACAAATTTTTAGGGGGTGGATAGCACTGCCACAGGACCAAATTAATGGGTCTAGCAAAGGACAACAATTAAAATGGACACAACCAAAATCACTATTCACCCAGTATTTTGCAAAATAATAATGTGAAAGAAACCCTCAGGAAAGGTAGTACACAGACATCTTGTGATCCACCTTCAAAACTGGCACCACAGCTAAACCCTCACTGATGTAGGACACAAGAGGACAACATCCATGGATCAGATAGTTCTTGTTCTCTGAACACAGAAAAGGCTGCTGAGTACAGAGGAAACTAGATATCAAACAGTAACTGAATTTTACTTACTGTAGTCAAAGGGGTTGGTGTAGGTATAGGAAGCAACCCTGCACCAGGCATCAGGCTTGTCATAGTAGGAGCAGGCGCCAATAGAGAAAGGGCTTTGGCTTCATCTGGGATTTTACCTGAAGAAGAAAATAAAAGCATTACACAGAGTTGGAACACTACAGAGATGTTACTCTTTCTATGATTTTACAATTACCCTTGCATTTAAAAATGTAATAAATAACAATGAATCTATCTACCAGATCCTTACAAAGAAACAAATAAGAACTTAAGTTTTTCCTTTTACCCTGCTCTACTAGGAAAAACAGAAGTGAGCAAAACTTCAAAGACTAGCAATCTCATTAATGGATTATTATTTTAAAAACTGAATAATGTATACAATTATTTAACACTTTGAGCTATGGGTCACCTGTACTGGAAACTTAATGTTCATGAACCAAACGATATCAAGCATGGACGCTTTCCCAGGGCGGTGTTTTCGCGGTGATCGAAAGTTGTTTTACACATGACAACCGTTCGTGTTGGCTGCATCACTAATAGCACACAGAACATCAGATACAGAAAAGAAGAACATTTTTTAAAGTTTAATCCCCAGAAATGGCAAATAACCAAATCAGTAAAAGAAAAAAAAAAAAAAACCAAACTATGTGCTAACTGAAATTTGTGCTTTTTTTTTATTCCTCTGGTGCTACCTACTTGGGATGTAAAAACAAATAAAAATAAAATTAAGACTACTGAACTACCATGACTCCACACAATACATACTACGAGTGAGGTTGGAGGTGGAGGAAGGGAGGGCAGAAAAAATTTAGACTTGTACTGTCTCACATTCTAGGTCACCTCAGTTCATCTGAAACTTTGATAAATTTGCTTTAAACTTACTGAGATTGAAGACAATCATAATTGATCAGGTAAGCAAGCTCTGTTTTCCTAAAATATGTATTTCCTACTATTTCAACCAAATTATATTCCCCCTGTCATGGTAAAAGTTTATGTAATACCTAATCTGAATTAAATGTAGGTTCCATTCAACATCAGTCACAATTAGACTAGTAAATGAACCTCCTAAAATCTTCAAAAATCAGAAGATTTAATAGTTAAACAATTATGAGTACAATCAAATGTACATACTAAATTTGAAATGCAAAGGGATTTAAACTGGTACAAACATTAAGCACTAAACTAATAAACTACAGAAAGAGGTTCTAATTATACTAGATATCTATGATCTATTCAAAATTACTCTGACAATTGTATATATGCTATCCAACTGAGCCCTTTGGTATTTACCATGCACTTTAATAAAGTAAATGCTTTTATTTAAACATTGTTTTAGAAGTTAAGGTATATACAAATACCATGCCAGTGGCTTTTTCTGCTTTGGTTCAAATTGTATGTTTTAACTATAAACCCACTAACTTCAGGATTTAAAAATGAATATATACATATTCTTATCAAAAAGCAAAATATGAGGTATGTATCAAAACACTGTGCAGTTTTAGCTATATGAGTTCAATAGACCCCACAGGAAACATACTACTTTAAAAAACTGAGAAGAAAAAAGCGTTGCAAACCTGTTTTACAGATCTGCAGCAAGGACTGGGTTACAGTTGGATATGACCAAAGGACAAAACAGATCTAAATGAAACTTAATTTGTATGTAGCATGGGTGGAATAGAAAAGAGAAAATAACAGTACCCATTTTTTTTCTCATGCTTCCTATTTACATTTATCTTATTTATGTTAAATTTTGAGGCACCTTGCTCCTTAACATGTAACAAACCACTTGATTTTGCTATCTAAAGGAGAAAAATAGGAAAATTATTAGCACTTAAGAATTAACTGTGCAAAATGACTTCCAGGGCTTTTTTAAAAACATGCATGAATCTGAGTCATCATCACAATGTTCAGCACAGATCTCATTTTGAAGTCAGGCATGCAATGAGAGGTGTACCTGATTTGCCTGACTGCTCATGAGTATCAGGTACTTTGCTGCACATCCTGCCTAATATGTAGCTAACTAACAGGCTTTCGAATACACAGTTCCAGCAGCTGTGCATGCAAATTAGGCATAGAATTATGTACCAGTTCTTCTGAAAACTGAAATATTTCAGTGTTTTCAAATGACTAATGAACCAGACCTTATCTTGAACAGCTATCATCCTGCAATTAACTGGACACACTTGCAGGTGTCTACAGGATCAACAGACATGGCTCAAGTAAATCCACTGGCACAAATGCCTCCTAAAGTGGCGTGTCTGCATTCTAATTTAAATCCTTGGTCAGTAACATACATAAGTATATGCCTAATTTAAGTATGCGCTTACATACAGCCAATTCAATATACACTTAACCAGACAAACTTCAGAGATGCTCAGGCATTTCGCCCTTCTAAAGAGGAACTGAGTTAGGCACATAACTAAACAGACAATGAGTCAAGTTCAGAGAAGTACTTAAATACAAGTCTAAACTTCAAGTACATGGGTCACCTTACTGAAATAATTGGAATTATTCATGTTGCTCAGGGAATCCACTGAACATTTTCGGTTAAGTACACCGTTACAGCAGTTCAAAGAATGAATAACATGCATATCTAAATTGTAAAATTAGCATTATTTCCAGAATACTTTGGTCCTTCAACAATGCAATGTTTTATTTTAAATACAAAATCTAGTTGGTCAGTTCCATGCCACAAATGAAGATTCATTTATTTTATTCAAGAATGAGAAAGGGTCTATCTCTACAGGCAAAATCCTGAAAATTTGCCTGTATAGTCAAAGATACTGTCTTTTCAAAAGATCCTTCTCCAGTTTTTAAGACCAGGTCAAACTTTTTAACAATTCTATAGAAAAAAACCTATGGGGGGGG